ATATAGTTTCTAAATTTATATAGGTAATTATGTGGAATTAAACATGCTATACATGAAACAATCACAAATAATATCTTAACATATAATGTTATAATAGCATTATTATTAAACCACTTTTATGTCTTGTTCAGTTGTTAAGTAAATGTCGAGCCACGTCAAACCGCATAAATCATAGAATGTTTCAAGTWGAAAACAAATACATACCTACATTTTCTWACAAATAATATTTGATTTTGACTCAGAAGTAATAAATATTAGTTTAATATAGTCGATCATAAAAGTATAATATAGGTAATAAACTGTAGTTAATATTTTGTTTCGAAATTCCAAAGTGGGGGTGCCGGAGACATAGAGCTTATAACTAATTAAGTTTTCTGACAATAATACCATAGAATGAACCAATTTTTGAAAAATAAGTTGAATATTTTATATTAGGTGATTCACCAATCATGTGCACCCCACTTTTTTTTATTAATTTGGATAATCAATATCTGATTTTTAGAATTCTTAAATTCTAGATCATACTTTCAATTTTTTTATTATACTTGAGGTGTGTAGTGAGTTTTGGAAATACAAACATTGTGGAGGTATTCAAATGATAATCTCCCCTCCCATTTTCTACATATTACATTATTTATTGGATGCTATGGGAATATAATATTATTATATAAGAACCACTTATGAGAAATCTTGCATTACATTTTCAAGTCTTAGCTATTAAAATTAGAAATTGAATACAATTTTAACTAAAAAATGTTACGGGACAGAAAATTGTGGCCCATTTAGATGCCCCGTTACTGCATTAACCGGTTACACACACACACACACGTCGTGCATGCATCTCATACAACATCGGCCCATAGAGTACTCTATGCATCGGCCGAACGCCAATGGCAAGACGCAACATAGATGGCGCAGCAGTGCGAACGAACATTGAGACCGTGCGCCGCCCGCTAGTAAATTGATTTTTCCCGTAAAACCCTTAAGTTGGGTGTGTAAACCATTATATATTCACGATCACGAAGACGTCATTTATCTACTACCACCAACAGCCGACGTCTATCCTTCAAACCATGGAAATTAGCCAAAAAAGTCAACTTCATAAAAATGCACATATCCGCAATGTGTATAATAGCATAAATACCACCGAGGATCAGCAGTACAGAACTACAGAAACCATTTGACCCCGTTGTGTGCGGTTCTATTACAAGTCAAACGGTCTTAAAACGMCATTACACACGGATACTCTGCA